CATGATAAATTTAATTAGCATTTTAATCATATCTTAAATTGTTTATACATATTAAATATAAATTAGTTAGTTATGTACATTTGTAAAATATAAATACAAATAAACACTATTAAGACCATGGTTGCTTGATTTTGTTTGTTCATATCATTTATTTAATTGCATCTATCTTGCTGCATACTTAATTTTGCATTGAGACCAATAAAATGTGTATGAAACTATGATTAACTGAACAGCTTCCATAATTAAATATATTATTTATATAGTGCATTCTTTGTTTAGATCAATATAATAGAACGCATTAATGCTTGTTAAATAATGCATATATGTGTGTATGTGCTAACAAATAAATTAGATAGATTAGTACCAATTGCAGAAATTACAATAATTTGCTGAAATACAAAATGTTATGAATTAAAATGCGTTAGTTAAGCAAAATTACGTTTAGAATAAGAAATAATCTTTATTGTTCTAATCCATTAACATGGAATTATGAAAATAGGATATAGAATTATCGAAATCATGCGTAGGAACAAAACCAAACCAATATACTTCCGTACAGGTTCTTCAATATTAAATTGCTAATTATAAATTTAACTTATTCTTAAAAACATTAATTGTTACATTATAAGCTATAATTATCTATGAAAATGACCTTTAAACTATTAAATATACAGAAAAAATTTAGAATAATTTAATTACAAAATAAATTGGACTACATTCAAGTTATGGATGACGAAATTGTCTTCCTTTAACTATTTTTTATTACAAAATTATATAAAGGAATTTATTAGTTTTTGACCTGGTTTTCGCATCGTGTTCATATTGGTGGGAATACTTAAGGGAACTAACCTAGTCCCTAATCCATTGTATGCATGATAATTTCCGAATAAGGACCGTGGACCTTAAACGTTGTGCTCTAATTTTAATAATCTTATGTATCAGCAAATTAATGCTGATTTAAGAAGAAGGATTATCAGTTTTGTTTTATCATGAATTTAACATCTATTTACAAAATTCATTAGAGATTACCTATTATTTCCTATCACAGTTTCAAATCTTGTATTTTATGAGGAAGAAATATAATCGATATATACTTTAAACTACCATGGTACCTAAACAGTTTCATTAACTTTATAATTCTCACCAATTTGGACAAATTTGTGAATAATCTAAATTTGTTTCTGTTATTAATTTATTAAGGATCTAATTCTGTTTTTCTTTATTTCAATAACAACAAAAAATTTCTGCTTCTTATTATTTGCAGATCTTTATTCTATAATTATTTTTAGTTTGATACGAAAATATTTTTAAATCTTTTAGTAATTTTTGTACATCTGTCAAACGGAAATAGATTAAGTATTCATAAGACCATGACAGCTGTATTTTTCTTAATGTCAATATCTATTTGATTGTTTTTACCCTGCTGCATAATTTATTTTAGCGACTATTATTTTACTTTTACATTTCAGTCAATACAAATTTTTTAATTCTATTATACACTTTTCTGTAATTTATTGAATGCCTAACTAGATTAATATACATGTATTTATTTAACACCTATAAAATTATGCTTTTAAGTTAATGTCTTTAGATTACTTCGGAAACAGCACCAGTATGAATGCTCCAGTAAAGTTAATCGACAGCTGATCGAGAGGAATTTGCCGTCGTCTTCTGCTGGAATCGATCTTAGAATCTCTTCATCGAACGCTTTCACTCAAAATGGAAATTAGCTTAATTATAGAAGACTGCTTATCTATGATATACTCATATCTATTCTCTTGTGCATACAATATAATTTTTTCTTACTCATGTCAAATTTATTATTAAATTCCAATGCTTTAAATATCTAAATACGTACAAATCTGGAGAAATATAGTGGGAGATAAATTTATTTATGATAATTATATGATTCTCGAAAATTTACTAAAATAAGTAAAATTAAGGTATTATTGTATATTTATTTTTTTTTTAATTATAATATTCAATATTGTCAAATTCCAATAGTGGTCTAAGCATAAGAAAATTAATATTAAGCATAAAGATTAGTACAAGTATTGCCCTCAGTGGGTTATTTAGATTTATTTAAATAGAGATTAAGTTGCCGTTGAATTTAATTCAACTTTCCTTGCTGAAAGGTAACTAAATAGTTTTAAATAAATTAAGTTCATTTAGGCTAATAAGCATCTATCACATCTTTACAGAAATAGTTTACATTAAATATTCATCTTTATTCTATGTTTTCGAGTCGTAGTCGGCATCATTAGTGAGTTTCCCATTCTCCGCAGAAACATATGAAGTCGTCAATGAGACAAGTGAAGTCAATCTCTCGACAAACGTTCTGCAGAAGACAGTTACGCAATCACTCTGCTTTCTGTCCTGGCCTATCTATCGACTCTTTACCCTCTTATCCAACTCCGCCTTGTCACAAATTCTCACTTGTTTACATTCCACTCCTCAAAATGTGTGCCCTTTTGTGGAAAATCTAGTGTTGCCATATCACATTTGCTATTTACCCCGACCCCTCTCTTTCGATCGGCTGATCCGACCTGGGCCTTCAATCCGGATCATTTCATGGTCCCGTAGATCCGTTTCTTATCTTTCAGGTTGGTCGAGTTCACTCGGTTTCAGTCCCCGTGTCCGTTTTACCTTAGGCGCTATTTCTTGAGGCCTTAGAAGCACATACACTGTCGCCTCGCCTAGCAGCGCGCCTAGACTCGGATACCATGATTGCAGATATCAGACATTTCCTTCACAGGTCCTCTTATTAATTAAACCCGTGTAACCTGAGCATAATGTTTACGCCTATCTCTGGTCGTATGCGGTATCTCAAGTGGATTTCCAGAGATTTTTTGACATAAAGTCGAATTTTGTAAGGGTTTGCTTATTGGTCCGCCTATCTCTTTGACTGCCAGGCCTTAAAGTTGTACTGGTTTATTTGAAACTGAAAACATTCATTGACAACGTCTTTGCTTGATTGACGAAACTCCCCGCCCCTCAATTTTTTTCTTCTTTCTTTTGCCTTCCAATTTATCTCCAGTCCAATCTGTGCAATGTGTCTCACTAATTCTGATCTTTCTTTTTCCATTTTCCCGCAAAGCCTCTGATGTTCCTGGATTCGTGACCCAATTTTTCTCCCCGTTTCGCCAATATATTTCTGTTTGCATGATATAAAGTAAACTCCTGAACAATCCAATTTGTCTATCCTTTCATTTTTCGTAAGTAGACTTGTGAAAATTGATGATTTCTTTTTCATGGCCACCCAAATATACAATTTCTTCAATATTGGCCGTAGTTTTTAGTTATCTCGTAGGAAGGTAAGCATATCCACTTTTTTGAATCCTTCATCGTAATTATTTTCTTTCATCGGCTTTTCACGGCCCATATACGTAATTGTTGTCTTCGCTTGGCTGGCCAATGCCAAGGAATATCCTTCTCTATTTGTCCAGCTCCTCTTCCCAGAATTCGACATCCGTTAAGCATAGGCTCCTCATGCTTTTTATTATTCGGATCCTTAATCTGCATTTATGATGGGACTGGAAATGGAGTATTATCCCAACATAAGACTTCTTTATTAACAATTTATTTTTAGCGAATCACTTTAACATCCAGGAATAGTAACCGCTCACCTTGCTCTACTTTCATCGTGAATAGAATTTTATCATCAATCTAGTTTACAAACTTCAAAAACCCTTCCAGTTTTTCTTTTCCATGTGACCAAAGTGCGAAGTAATCATCCAGGTACCGCATGAGAACTTTTGGTTGTAGCAGTGCCATATTAAATTTCTCTTCTATTTTGTTCCCGTATACGTCTGCCAAAAGTGGTGAGAGCAGCGATCTTATGAGAAGTCCAAATATTTGTTCATAGATATTCCCGTTGAATGTGAAATAGGTTGTTCTTATTGTCAAGTTGATTAGTCTTGTTAACGACAACCTCCTGATCCGTTGCGAGTCCATGATATCCTCCTCTCGGTCCAGGATTTCCAGAAGGGCCGTTAGCGCGTTTTCTCCAGAGATGTTAGTATACATGGATTCCACAGCAAAACTTTACATTTAGTCCGTTTCTTCCAGTGCCATGTTTTGGATTTTTTATGAACATTCATATAAATCTTTCACCGTGTTTGATAGC